TTGGAGGTAATGCGTATCAGTTCAGAGTTGTCTGGATCAATACCAAAATCTGCTAATTAACAAAGAACTTTGAAAAACAGGTCAAGCAGCAGAGTGTGCTTCGACACCATTTTCGATATGTAAACAAAATTAAAAAGGAATCCCGAAATACATTTTTAAATTACATCAATACAAGTATTCACAAACAATTGAATACTTCCTTTACTCGTTTTTGATTTATAAACCATGTATTTATTTTCAGTTTTTTAATACATACTATAACATTATTTCATTAAGCTTCTAGATACCAAGATTCAACTGTCTGTAGAATTTTCAGTTAACTGGTTTCACGTGACTAAGAAAGCTTTGTAGATGTGCATAGACTGGTTGTATATAAAAAAAAACAAAAAAAATTGAAAACATTCATCCAAACCAAAGATGTTGTGATGAATTATATGACCAGGTAGTCAAAATAACTCAACCACATCACTTGTCAGATTCTATTTTACACAGTCTTCTTTCAGTTTCTGTATCTCTTTTTGTCTGCCACCGGGATTTTAATGGGCTGGTACCCCAGCCAATATGTCAATAGATGCTCCAGTGCACACACAGAAAAGGAGATCTTCTTTTGTTTAAGACTGGGATAGATGGGAGGTTTCATGCATCAGCAAGCAGAGGCTTCCCTCACAGCTGGAGCATACCAATAATTGCCAGAACAAATTATACAGGGGCAAGCTGTCCTTTAGCCATTTCAAACAAGAACACCCGTTTTGAGCAGCGTAGAAATAGATTTGCTACAGTCAGAAAGGAATCATGCTTGACACAACAGGTTTAGGGCATGTTATTTTCATGGGTTATAATATTGTGTTGCTTTAGAGTCCTTCAATTTTAAAGTTGAATAGAGCATGACCAGTAATTCAATGTTACACTGCTGACATGGCGTGACATTACTATTAGGTGTCTTTTCATCGTTAGGAAAACATAAAACAGTCAGCATAACCTTATTAAAGGGAGTATAGATGATAGTAGTTTCTAGTTGAGAAACAGCAATCTTTAAGAAAACCATGAATTTAATTATATGTAATGCTACTTGTAGGTTCAAAATTACATGTTTGTGTGCTAACTTTTGCACCTCTATTGTATATCCGTGAACAGTGGCGTAAATACCAGGGTCGCAGGGGTCGCGGCTGCGACCGGGCCCGGCCCACCAGGGGGCCCGGCCGCCCCTGCGACCCGGTATGTACCCACAGGGCCAGCCTCTTCCCCTGGGGGGCCCAGGAGGCGGCCACCCCAGGGCCCCCCGAGGCTGGCCCTGCTGACACCCGGAAGGCGGGTAGCCGGCCGGTCGGGCAGGCGGGCGCGCGAGGGAGCACTCAATGCTTCCTCTTCAGCTCCCTCGCACACCGCACTGATACCGGAGCCGGAAGATGACGTCATCTTCCGGCGCCGGCATCCCTACGCGGCGCGCGAGGGAGCTGAAGAGGAAGCACTGAGTGCTCCCTCGCGCGCCCGCCTGCCTGCCCGACCGGCCACCTGCCCAGGAGCCCAGCAGCACCACTGGACCCCAGGGAATCCCCCCAGCACTCCAAAAGGTAAGGAGGCTGGGGGGATTACATTAAAAGAAAAATGTGTGAGTGTTAGTGTTAGAGAGTGTGTGTGAGTGTTAGTGTGTGAGTGTTAGTGTTAGAGTGAGTGTTAGTGTTAGAGTGAGTGTTAGTGTGTGTGTTAGTGAGTGTTAGTGTTAGAGTGAGTGTTTGAGTGAGTGTGTGTGTCTGCTAGTGAGTGTTAGTGTGTGTGAGTGTTAGAGTGAGAGTGAGTGTTAGAGTGAGTGTTAGTGTGTGTCTGCTAGTGAGTGTCAGTGAGTGTGTTACTGTGTGTGTCTTACTGAGTGTGTGTGTGTGTGTGTTTGTGCGTGTTAGTGAGTCTGTTTGATGTCTGTTAGTGAGTTTGTTTGTCAATGAGAGTGTATGTTTTGTAAGTGAGTGTGTATGTCTGTCGCTGAGTGTGTCTGTCAGTAAATGTGTGTGTCTGTTAGCTAGTGTGTATGCGTCTGTAAGTGAGAGTGTGTGTCTTCAGCACTTACCTTTCTCCAGCGCCGGACTCCCTTGGCGCTGGGGATCCCTCAGCTCCGAATGCGACCGGGCATGCATTCAAACCGCCCATAGGAAAGCATTACTCAATGCTTTCCTATGGACATTCAGTGTGCTCCTCTAGCGGCTGTCAGTGAGACAGCCACTAGAGGCTGGATTAACCCTCAGTGAAACATAGCAGTTTCCATGAAACTGCTATGTTTTCAGCTGCAGGGTTAAAACTAGAGGGCCCTGACACCCAGACAACTTCATTGAGCTGATGTGATCTGGGTGTCTGTAGTGGTCCTTTAAGTGTGTGTGCATCTGCATGCACTGGCGTACATACCGCGGTCGCAGGGGTCGCAGCCCTGTAATCCCTGCGACCAGGTGCCCATCGCCATGTGTTGCGGCCCGGCCCGCGCGCTGGGGGGGGGGGGCCATGGATCAATTTTCGCACCGGGGCCCCATGGGTCATGTGTACGCCACTGTCCGTGAAAGTATTTTGCTATCTATCTATCTATCTATCTATATATTTATCTTTCCATCCATCCTCTGCCTGATCTATCGATCGATCTATCTATCTATCTATCTATCTCTCTATCTCTAACATTTTAGTTCCATTATTCAGTTAAAAACAACATCCCAATAGAAGAATGTAATTTTCATGTGACCAAACTGTATTACATTTTGCTGTAATTATCACTTAATGTTCTGATGTTTTTCAGCACAGAGGAAATAATTTTGGTATTACTATAGGATTTCAAAATTCTTAGTGAAATCCACAAATTAAAAAAATAACAGAACTGCAGAGAGTACATGATGCTTGCAACCAATCAGACTTCTCTTTTTGCAGAGTATTTTCCAATATCGTAAAGTGCAGAAAAGACTAAGGCATGTTTGATTCTTTGAGAATGTCCATGAAATTTTTTTTTCATCTTTAGTATAAATTACATTTGCATTTGATACTAAGTCGAAGTACGATCTGACATCTAGCATGTAAAAATTAGAAAATAATAGGTGTATGTGGTAAACCTTTTTTTCAATTCATTAAAATATACATGCACGCAACAGACAAAACTACATTAGGTGATAAATATTTGTTAAAATCTAAAGCGAAAAAATTAGTTAAAATATATATTAAAAAAGTGATAAAAGTTTTAAAAGTAGAAATGATTCATATAACAGCTCTAATAACTTAGTAATATAGTGACTTCGAAAATAAGAATTGTATATTAATTCTCTATTAATAGGCATGAATTCTTGATGGGAATTGTCATGTTTCCACGCAGAGAAATATTTTAATGAAGACTGCAGTTTGTTTGTAAGGTATTTTCCACCCACTCTTCTCACAAGGTACAAAAATAGGATATATGTACAATGCAGGACTGTTAATGAGCATACAAAGCATTATTCTGTCACTTGTCTAAATTGCTGCTAAACATTCTTTTTGTATGAGCGTCAAGTTCCACACATTTATTTGCCACATCTATAAGTCTTATACAACTTTTAAATTATTAATTGTTTAATAAATATTTCATATTCATTATTTTCTCTTTCTCTGACTTTTAAATCACAGTTTTCAGCTTCTTTAACAAAAGATTATTGGGCTGTTTGAAAACTGGTCTGCCCTATGATTGAGAGTTCAATATCAGTTTTGTAGCTTTAATTTAATGAATGTGAATATATTTTTTTATTTTTATGGTAGTCAAATTATTTCTTGAATACATACAGGTGATACTCGAAAAATTAGAATATCGTGCAAAAGTTCATGTATTTCAGTAATGCAACGTAAAAGGGGAAATTAATATTTGAGATAGACGCATTACATGCAAAGCAAGATAGTTCAAGCCGTGATTTGTCATAAGTGCGATGATTATGGCTTACAGCTCATGAAAACCCCAAATCCACACAGGCACACACTGACATACACACAGATACACACACTTTGATAGACACACACTGGCAGACATATAGACACACACAGTCACACACACTGACAGACATACAGATACACACAGGGAAACATACAGATGCACACACTGACAGACATACAAATGTACAGGGAAACATACAGATGCACACACTGACAGACAGATGCACACACAGGCAGACATAAAGACAGATACACACAGTGATAGACATACAAACACACACTTACAGACATACAGACACACATTAGCAAACAGATACACACACAGGCAGACACACTGACAGATACACACACTGGAAAACATACACACACACACACACTGACTGGCAGACACACACACACACACTGACACACACTGACAGACATACATATATACACACACTGACAGACATAAAGGCACACACACTGACAAACCCATTGACAGACATAAAGACACACACACACTGACAGACATACAGACACACACACTGGCACACACACTGACAGACATACAGATACACACACACTGACATACATAAAAACACAGACATTGACACACACATTGACAGACATACAGATACGCACACACTGACAGACACACAGATACACACACTAACAGAAGGTGTTGTTATATTGAAGGGCGGGCTTGCAGTGCTGGATACAGACACAAACACACTGAGATACACACAGATGCAGGTTAAGCTGCATTTCTCGTCTGACCAACAGAATCCCCTCCTCCCTGGCCTAAGTTAAGCCTCAGAATTTGGGGAAGAAACTTGAATTATTATTTTTTTTTTAAATTAACAAAGTCAACAAAGAAAAGTTACAAAGTCACATAACATAAACGTGTCTTCATTGTTAATTCCAACAATATCGGGCCCTTGCTACACGTGTTTTGAGATATAAAACTCTATCCGTTGTCAGTGCGTTTCTTAGTGTCAGCTAGATAACACCCTAATGCCGAACCTCCGGATTTTAAACGACCTTCGTTTTATTTGCACATACAAAGATAAGCTAGCCATTTTTTATTATTGTTATTATTTTTAGCACTTGTCCACAAGGCGCTTATGGTCAACTTCCATTTTGTGGATCTTGTCCACTACCTTGTTGTTGGCCAGGCATAATTTATCAGTGCATTCCTCAAGGGCACCCATGCGCACACCAATATCATGTACCTCCTTCCGTATGTCTTCCACAGCAGTCTGGAAGTCTGCCCTCATGGATGAACGCAGCCCCTGCAGTACAGCTGCAAACTTCGTTTCTGAGAAATCCGGGGCACGCTGGGCATTTGGAGGGGCCATGCTGCTACGGGTAAGATCTCCCACACATAATACTGAGCTACAGCAGTCTAGGAACAGCAATCAGCTTAATTTAGTCGCTTTGTGGCCGCGGTGGGAACCAGAAGTCCCGCCCCCGATTTGAATAATTTGATCTAGATTTGAGCCATATGTTGACACAGAAACCGTAGTTCCCTAAACTTTTGAAATTCCATATATTTGCCAAGGTAACTCGCCATATATCTCTTCTCTACTCGTCCTGGAATTTTCACCCCATTGTCATGTATAATCAATTGCTGCTTGTAGCATGATGCATTTTGTATTTTCGGATGTGCTAGAAACTTTTTGGATTAAACTAAAAATATTTTTATCCTGGGCCCTGGATATCCAGGCTAATTACGAATTAGCCTTGAATGAAAGGTCCCCCATGTTCTACGTTTCATCATACATGGGTTGTTAATTTGGTTTGTGAAAAACTGAAATATTGCAAAGATAATACTTTACCTCTATTATTTATTATTCTGATTGGCATTTAAATAGCGCCAGCTATATCCACTATGGATTTCCGGACTGGAAGCTCTATAGCACATATCCTTAATACTGAAAACTGTTCTTCAACTTTTAAAACTTTTTATTTTAAGCCTACTTTTGTAAACTGACATAAACTTCAAGATTTCCTTGTCTAATCAACAGAAAATATAAATATTATTAAAGACAGGAGATGAAAATAATGCCACTCAATTAACCACCCTTGGTTTGTTTTTGTTTTTTGTCATTTCAGCATAAAGCGGTAAGACAGCAATATCCTGGCTTACCTGTTAAATTTGTCTGTTTCTTATCACAGCTACAAAGATGTGGAACTTTTGGGGTAATTCTCGTTAGGTGCTACAGTTAATGCTGATTGATTCTTGAGTATTCTATATATTCCTCAAGGTTGTTAACTATTTTGTTGCTGAAGTAGTAAAGAAGGAATTTAATGCATAAGTGATGTGTATTTCCTATTTCTATTCAATGGCTATTCCTTGGCTAGCAAAATCTTGAATTTTACAACTCAGATTCAGAGAGCTCATATAATCTGGAGCATGCATTGGACCCAGAAACTTATAAATCCATGATTTTGGTTTCAAACGAATTACAATTTGTCCAAACTTTGGGCGATCAGGGGGTCATTGGAATTCAGTAACTGTGAAGTGCCATATGGATGTATCTCAGACATCACAGACAATGGTTGAATAGGTTTGTTTGCTTTGTGATTTGGTGTTCCATCTGTGGCACTCAAAAAAATAAAAGAGATGGTTGAGGTTAGGGGACAGACACTAAATCAAATAAAGAAGGAAATAAATAAAATAAATAAATAAACCAGGGATCAGCCAAAATAAATACTTAAACTACTCAACCGAATGCTCAAAAGAACACTAAAAAAATTTGACTATTGACAGAAAGTAATTTGAATAGTAAAATACCATTCTATGACAAATTTTCTTTCGTATATTTCACTATTAATATTTTGCAGTAAACTTTTGCAGCAGGAGGCTTTAGAAAATTGTATGACCATATATTAAAATGATTTAGTTTCAATTATTATCATCAATGGGAATACTGGATATTATACAAATGATTTGCATCTAAAGATTCCAAGTATATTACATTTATTGTTGTGCTTATGGTTCTTTGACCTTAACATGGGATATATACCTGTTTGCTCTCTCGTTTTATGTAATGTAATATCCTGTTTTGTTATGCTAATTCAGACTCAATAAGAATGGCAAGATATGTCTGTTTTGTAACTGATACAGTTCCTTAGAAAAAAAGTCTGTGCCTTAAAATAACAATTATGTTTTGCACTAATGGCTAGCTCAGTTGATGCCAAGACTAGCCTAAAGGGACACTATCGACACCTTGACCACTTCATCTCATTGGAGTAGACTGGGTGCAGTGCCCGTTGTGCCCTTAACCCTGCAATGTAAAACATTGCGGTTTTACATAAACTGCAATATTCTCCTTTTATGGGCAAGACTGCCTCTAGTGGTTGTCTAGTGGGGGGAAGAGGAACAATATAGTGTTAGGATTATAGTTTTGTATTTCTAACATTATAGTGTTCATTTAAATCTTAGAGAAGTTATTGAGAAAGCTAATACATGCCGCATCACCAATGTATTATCTTGCAGAGAAGTTGATTTATTTTTATTTAAAAGATAATAGATGGGCAAGGAATGAACAGGGAGTTTAAACCACTTCATGGGCAAGAGAAAACTTACTACAGAAGCTGCAAATCCTGAGAATTAACAAATTCAAAAACTTATTTTGAATCTTTAGAAAAAAAAAATTTTTTTTATATTAAATAAGAATATAACAATGCAGAGAAAGTGTGCTGCTCTTTCTAGTGATCTGGAATATCTCTTAACTGTAAACAAGTACTGTTTGTTTATGAAGACTTCAGGCTCAAGGACATTAAAACAGATAATTGGATGATCCGGTCAATCGACAATGACAAGAATGACAGAAGAAGAAAATGCTAAGTGTAAACAAGCATTATTGAGCCTGGAGCAGAAATACTCAAATATGTATGAAAGTTTGAATAGTATTGAACTAGTCCTATCCATTTATTTGTATCTTAGAAGAATTTGGAAAGTATCTATTTATAGGTATTCATGAGAGATGTAAAGGCATCTTCTCAATAGGAAATGTTGCCTAAAGGAACACAGTGATTATTGCTGGAAGGAGACGATCCATGAAATGTGCCTAACAGACTGGGACAATGAAGCTAATGAAGATCTACTTTGCCTGGAATTCTTCCATCAGACACTATATTCTGGAGCATATCGTCTATCTACTATATAAGTAAGTCTGAGTAAACAAGGATTAAAATGTGTAAATTGTTTGGTTTTGTGGGTTGATAAACACATTTTTACATGCAATATCAAACTGCTGGTACATTTGCTTATCATTAAGCATTTATGAATTTTGTTTTTAAAAATACATATTGCATACGTTTCCAAGTGTAAAACTAACTTGTTTAATTGAGCAACGAAGACCATCAAAAATAAGAGTAACTGCACAATACAAAGATTATGCTAGCTTTAGTGTACTAATAATCTTAATTTTAATAAGGACAGGAGGCGAGTATTTTGCATAACTCTCTTTACTAAACACCATAGCAGTAAAGAAAAGGATAATAAGAACCAATCAAAAAACAGTAGGAGGTATAGTATTCCCAGTGAACAGGCTCCTCCTCCTCTTTCAACTAGCGACATCGCAGACGGACAAAGTTCAAACAATTCTGAATTAAAGCCAGTCTTGGGTCTGTAACAGGAGAATCAATCCAAACGAATTAGGATAATCCATGGGGAACGTAGGATAAACTTGGGATAATCCACATAGAGGTAATCGTAGGTCCAAGTGGAATTACGCTGAAACGAGAACGTGGAATAGGTTAGGTACTAGTCGTAAGACCATGAAAAACATGGAAAGCATCTGGCTAGACTATTTTAGTAAGACTATAATACTATAATGACAGTATACTATTAATCAATACTTCTCTCCCTACGGTACAACAAGGTATAAGTATCATGACATAAGAGAGATACACAATATACATTGGATATTCGGAATGATGAAGGGAGAGATAGAAAAGCTAGCTTCATAAAGGAGGATAGAGGAATCTGAAGAAGGAGCAGCATAGATATACTTGAAGACCGAAAGGGGTGGGTATGGGTGGGAAAATACTTGCCTCCTGTCCTTATTAAAATTAAGATTATTAGTACACTAAAGCCAGCATAATCTTCAATTTAATTACATGACAGGAGACTTCGTATTTTGCATTTTTAACGCTGATGTAACAAAGAAAACATCGCGCAGGAGTTCGGTCTAAAGTAGAAGGTCCAAAAAGTGGATTCATGGGACCAGTCAGCCGTGCGAAGGACATCTGATAGTGATGCTCCGGCTGCATAGGCCGAAGAAGCAGCCGCGCCTCTCACCGAATGAGCCCTGAAAGTGGCATCCACGCCTGCCAGTGACAAAATCCAACGTACCCATCTAGCGAGGGTAGTAGAGGAAACTGGATTGTGTAGCTTGACGTAGGAAATCAGTAGTTGGCCGGAGGAAGTCGGGCGTAGAGAGGCGGAAGCCGTCACGTAGCTGCGTAAGGCTCTGACCACACATAATTGAGGTTCTGTGACGAAAAAGGTGTAAAAATGGTGGTGGAGTTCGATTTGGTGCGTTGGGAGATATGGAAGGTGACTCCTTCGGGACCTATCGAAAAGGCATCGAATTCAAAGGCCCTAACGTTGGATACCCGGCGAAATGAGACTAGGCAGAGTAAAATCGTCATCTTGGCCAAAAGTTGGCGGAGCGAAAGTCTGTCGTTAGATGGCCATCCTCTTAAGAAGATGAGGACGAGGTCCACGTCCCAGAGGTGAGCGTATTTGGGGGCCGGGGGACGTTTGAGCTGTATGCCCCTCAGTAATCGACATACCATAGGGTCCTTACCCAACGGAATCCCTTGGATAGGAATATGGGCCGCTGAGATCGCTGATCGAACTATGTTGATGGTTCTATATGATTTCCTGGTTGCAAAAAGCGATGACAGGAAATTCAAGATGGCGGGAATAGGTGCCGTAAGTGGATCAAGGTTCCGTTCCATGCACTGAGAGGACCAGAAGGTCCAAGCAGAGAGGTAGCATAATCTTGTCCCCGGTGCCCATGAATCCCATAAGAGGTCCCTAGCAGTCTGCGATAGTTCGCCGACTTGCCATGTGCCCCGGAAAGAGTCCAAGCCACCAGAGAGAGTCTCTCTTCCAGCATTAGCGGGTGAGGGTTCCCCTTCAGGTCCGTGAGGAGAGTCGGGTGGGATGGCAGCAAGAGCAGGTCTGCATAAGATAGTGCTAGAAGATCCGGGAACCACGGTTGGCTCTGCCATAGGGGGGTAATTAGGAGCAGAGAAATCTGGTGTACCTTCAGATAATGGAGAGTCCTCGCTGTCATAGCGAATGGGGGAAATGCGTAGGCGTCGAAGGGTGGCCAGG